TTGTCTAGGATGAATAAAGGGAAATTTCAATTAAAGTTAAAAGGTAATTTTCCGCAGGCTCCTTTTGGGCGCCAAAAAGAAATAAATATATAACTAACATATATGTGTTATTATTGAAATGACAATATCAACCTTGTTAATATTTTGTGTTTATATATACATCGTGGAAATATTCTGCAAAGACGAGGGCAATTTTGGGCTTTCCGTTCAATACCTACTGATTCAGTTATTTCCAGTCTTCGATTTTCCATTCCCTCTCTAGAAAACAATCATCTATATTCGTGTGCAATTTGCATTGCATACACAAATTCTTCATTCCATTTCTTGATTTTAATCCCTTTTTTTGCTTCTTGATTGAATCCCTCGTTCACTCATTAACCAAGAAATTGTTCAGTAATACGTAGATTCATAGAAATCCCAGTAACAAGAAGCATTTACAGCAGCAGAAAATAGTGAAATTCGAGCAATTTTCATGGGGAAAACGGCGAGAAACATCAAGGGCTCTTTGATCAATCTAAACCCATTATTCTTCACCCGTTTGCTTTCAATTTCTCCATTGAATTCACTCGTTATCTCTCCAAGAAAGAATTCAAGAAACCAGAAGAATCACTGTTCATCAGCAAATCTAACTTTAGTGTTCTTCCTTTCTCTGTTCATTCTTTGCACTTTTCTGGGAATTTCCATTCTTACTTTCATTCCCATTTCTCAGAACTCGATTCCCTGTTCTATGATCTCACCTTCATCACCATTGTCTCCATTTCTATTAGCCTCGCTTTCGTCCATAGCAAAAGACTACTCCAATAATTTTCCTGATGACGAGCCGACACTATCTACCAGTGCTATGGTGCCATTGCCTCCACATGGCTTTTACGGTAACCTTTCTGAGGAGGAGAGAGAGTTCTGGCAGCAACCCGATGGTGAAGGGTACCACCCTTGCCTGGATTTTAGTCTAGAGTATCGAAAATCATCAGTTAGGATTTCGAAGCAGAGGAGGAAATTCTTGGTTGTGGTGGTTTCAGGAGGATTGAACCAACAGCGAAATCAGATTGTCGATGCAGTTGTTATCGCAAGGGTACTTGAAGCTGCATTGGTGGTACCAGTTTTACAGGTTAATCGCATTTGGGGAGACGAAAGGTAAACTGGATTTTGTCTATTTTGCTGTTACATTTCTTGGAAGTCTGATAATCATATGCTGATATCTTTGAACGTCTTCTCGATAAGTTTGTTACCAATCAAAATTTCAGTGTTCTATTTTAGTTAGCAAACTATCTTTAACGCATTCTGTCGCTCGATCATATATTAAGACTCGACTTATGATGTTGCAGTGAATTTTCTGATATTTTTGATGTTGAACATTTCAAGAAGACTTTGCAAGCTGATGTTCGAATTGTTACGTCCCTTCCTTCCACTCATTTGGTAGCAAAGCAGTCTGTTGAAAATCAAATCCCGTTTCATGTATCACCGACATGGATACGTGCAAGATTCCTCCAACAGGTAAAGAAAGGAAAACTTGAGCTTAG